CTTGTTTTCTCTAGGTTGGAATATTCCTGTACACTAATGGCCCCTTTCAAGGCAGGCAAAATTGCAGCCCAGAAGAATATACAGAGAACTTTCATTGCACATATATGTACGATAAATCACCTGAATTACTGGGAACTGTTGAAATCAATTGATTTATACTCCCTGAAACGCGTGCGAGAAAGATACATGATAATACTCATATACACTTGGAAAGTCCTAGAGGGACTAGTCCCAAAAATGCTCACAAAAACCCCGCCCTATGAAAGCAGAAGATGCAACATCCCCCCAGTGAAAAGCAGGGGCGCTATGAGTACTCTAAGAGATAACACAATTTGTCAGGGGCCCAAGACTGTTCATCTGCCTACCAGCATACATAAGGGGGATTACCAATAGACCCCTGGCTGTCTTCAAGAAGGCGCTGGAGAGGCACCTGAAGTCGGTACCTGACCAGCCGGGCTGTGGCTCGTACTTCGGTTTATGTGCAACCAGCGGTAAGAGCCTAGTTGAGTCAGGCTCTGATCCAGCACGAGACCTGGTCATAGACCAGGCCGGGTATAGGTCCAACCTACTCTGTTCTATTTATTACCAAAGTTGACCTTCATCAAATAAACCACTTCTGTGTAACTATTTTCTACATTTGGAAAACCTTGCATTAAAATATGAGCATCACCTCTTACCTGTCCTTAAAGATAAAATAATTTTGTACATCACGAAAGATCATTTTTATTATGTACATCCACCTTGAATATGGACCAGAATTCTTCACAACTGTCTCCTGAATTAAATGTGGATAGAAACATTTTTGGGAGCTTGGAAAGAGACATTTTCTTTACATAACTAGGCTGGCAAACTGCATTATTTACGCTCTTTCATTTTTTTAAGGCCATACCTTTACAACTCAATATTTTCTATTCTAGAACGTAATATTGGGTGATCAAGAACTCCATTTCCTGTTATTCTGAACAATTTTCCAGCAGACTCTTCATGCTGTTGAGACACCAATGGAAAATAGGAATAAATAAAGGGGATATAAATAGCGTGCTGAAAATTTCCAGCCAAGACAGGACTCGCAGCAATGGTTTCAAGTTGGAAAAATTCAGATTCAGGAAGGATATAGGAAAGCACTGGTTTGGTAATAGAGTCGTGGATGAGTGGAACAAACTCCCGAGTACAGTTATTCAGGCTAAAACGTTGTGTAATTTTAAAAATAGGTTAGATAAATACATGAGTGAGTTTGGGTGAGTGTGGGTTGGACCTGACTAGCTTGTGTTGCTGGGTCTGGTACAGTGCTCCATCCTTGAGTGGAGGTGACCAGACTGGGTGGGTCATTGGGCTAATCGGGGGGGGGGTCATTGGTCTAATATGGGGGGACATGGACCTGCTCCGCATGGGTCAGTAGGCCTGTTGCAGTGTTCTTTCTTTCTTATGTTCTTATGTTCTAATCATTATTTCCCTGCATTTATTATAGGCTTTAGTTATATAACTTTTCCTTACATTAAGTGACGCTTTTATTGTTTTAATATCCAAGGATGTACCATTTACACTGACTCTATTACACAATGACTCTTTTTATAATTAATACAAATTACTATGTATAAATTCTAGCCAAATATTCTGGCTTAGCATATTATGTAACATAATTATAAATCCTTACCTTATTTGGACTTAGCATCTCGCAGACAATTATAGTATTATTCACATAATACACATTATCAAATATTAATTTTATTGTGGACCACTCTCTTTTTTGTCACACAATATACATTATTACATATAAATTTTATTGTGGACTCTTCTCTTTATAGTCACACAATATACACTATTACATTTATTAGATCTACATCAACAAATTACCTTTTTATTATTGTAAAATCACATTGGTTTAAATTACTTGATCATAACTGATCATCTGCGTTTCAATAGGACCGAGACCATTAGGATCAATATCACATCTGGGTCTTAAAGGACCAACGGGAGCAAAATTATGTGGGGGGGGGGGAGAGGGTTCACGAGAACACTATCTTGAATTAACCTTCCACACACACTCACGGGAGAACTCATTAATACATAACTAAATTGCAACTTAGAAGAGTTGATGTATCCTGGAGGCTTAGTGGGACTTAGGAATGCTGGGATCACAAGCGATGCCCCCCCCCCTTTGGTGCCCACAGTCTCAAGCTCCCCGACTAGCTCCGGAACCCTGGATTATGAACATATGTTTTTTTTATATTTAAAATGAATATTGAGGTCAGTAAAACTGACTATTTAGTGGATTGTATAATTCCGAAGAATTTACGTGGATTTGACCGCTTTAAATAATTTGTTCTGTCTACTAGGTTACTATATTTAATCTCATTAATTCATATTAGGAACATATATTATTGCACTTATCAATCTATTACGTTGGTAATATGTCCCAGCGCCTACCACACGAAGATCACGTAGAAAATTGGCCAAACTCTATCAACCTTACCTGTGGAAATTTTTTACATAATTTCCTAAATGTAGAACATATCAATGAATAATATAATAATTGTGTATTAAAATGTGATGCTATTTGGACCTATCGAGAAATTTCGAATGCGGGAGATGGAGAAGAGCTGGGGAAGTGACGCGGAAAGAGACGTCATAATGAATTTAATGTGAGAACACTGGACTGAATTGTGCATTGTAATCAGGCGTTCTCGAAGGTCAATTTTTTTTTTTGCCTGAATTTGTAATAAGACCTCGTGGTAATGTCCCATGCTAAAGAAGTGTGATAGTGTGGAAAACGCTTACAATTCGGCAACCAGGAGCACACCTCAGCTAAGTGATGCTTACCCATACTGTACAGTAGTTTTTGCGTTGGCAATCGTAAATTCTAGCTGCTAGGGTAAGGTTAGGGTGTGTTCCATCAGCATTATGTGTCTTCCAGTAATTAAATGGTAAATGTTAATACCAATTTCTTTTGTGTACCTAGCAAGCCTAATCATATACAGTCCACAGCTTTAATTTATCAGATAAGCTGGTTTTAATATTGTAATTATTAATTTAATGTCAGGTCTAGCTTTTTGTGAGAGTGGTGAAGAAATGGGCATTGGGGGAGTTACAGTTCAGTGGCCTACTGTGATTAAAGTCCAACTTACTCTCACCCAAATTATTTGCTTATAATAATTCCGGTAATAATCTCTAAATCTCAAAGGTAATTTACTCACGTAATAATAATTCACATACCTGCTGTGTGAGGTTCAATACACACTTGGAGGCGAACATTAATTAATGATGAGACTGCATGCGGTAGAGCCAACATGACGTCCATCCAGCTACCATGTTACTCTTTCCTTTCATACCATCACTAATTCTTCGATTTCTTTATATATCTGCACCCTTCCAGATGTTTTTCCTCTTTACTTATCTTGTTGTGTAGAATTATCCGATAATATTTCTTTCAGCCACAGTTATTTAGAGAAACATTTGCGAACTCCCGCTTCTATTGTCCACATACATTTATTTTAGGAAAATTAAAAATTTTCCACAAACCCGATCCTGAAGAGTCATAAATGTATAAAGCTACAATGTCTTTCCTTGATCATTAGATGGATTCACAGCATATCAAGTAGAGATTTAACCTAGACCCAGATGATATTACAGATCGCCTCTCATTGGTATCAACTACCAAGATTCCCCAACCTGTGCCGGGATGTCGAGGCTCTATGTCACTGCAAGTACTCGGGTTTTACAAGAGTCCTTCTGTACTATAAGAATGAATGAATGAAGCTCATCACTGATGGTGATTTTTTTGCCTAGTTATAGGCTGCGGTGCCAGAATTTCTATACTGGGGAGCTTAGAGGCGGCTCTCTGGTTGGAAGGGACGTAGACTTGTTTTGGAGCAGCGTTATTAGAAATATTATTTATCTGGGATGAGGGTTGTGTTGGCGACGCGCCTGTTGTTATAAGAGAACTACAGGTTATATCAGCCTAGGTGATGAGTCGCCGAAATACACAAAAATATTTACCTTATGTATTGAATGTAGGAAAAATATACGTTAGGACATGTATTCTGCATTTTTTAATGACAACAGCAAAAAATGGCTGCTTCCTGAGGCCTCACTACATGTATCAACAAGTATGTGACTGATAACGTTGGACGGTTCCGGTGCCTTCAGTACATAACAGTGCTCAGCGAAGTAGCAGCAGTAAGAGTGAAAATCCTCTCCTTTGTCTTGAGAAAGATGATATTTACCAGCAGCGGCGTCAAAGTTTGTTCCCAGAATAGTGTTATCAGTCGCTATCATTCACTTCCGCCATCAGTGAAGCAGCGACTAACGGAAAGACAACAGTTCTTGAGAAACAGACGAGAAAGAAGGTGGTTGTGGTGTACCTGTCTCCAGTGTCCATCAATCATCACAACCAGTCTATACCCACTACCACCACAACCACGGTGTACACCCACTACCACCACAACCACGGTCTACACCCACTACCACCACAACCACGGTGTACACCCACTAACACCACAACCACGGTCTACACCCACTACCACCACAACCACGGTCTACACCCACTACCACCACAACCACGGTGTACACCCACTACCACCACAACCACGGTCTACACCCACTACCACCACAACCACGGTCTAAAACCCACTACCCCCACAAACCCCGGTGTACACCCACTACCACCACCCAAACCCCGGTCTACACCCACTACCACCACAAAACCCCGGTGACACCCACTACCACCCACAACCACGGTGTACTCCCACTACCACCACAACCACGGTCCCACACCCACACCACCACAACCACGGTGTAAAACCCACTACCACCACAAACCCCGGGTACACCCACTACCACCACAACCAGGTGTACACCCACTACCACCAAACCACGGTCTAAAAACCCACTAAACCACCCCAACACGGTGTACACCCACTACCACCAAACCAAAGGTACAAACCCATACCACCACAACCAAAAGTCTACACCCACTACCACCACAACCACGGTCACACCCACTACCACCACACCACGGTCTACACCCACTACCACCACAACCACGGTCTACACCCACTACCACCACAACCACGGTGTACACCCACTACCACCACAACCACGGTGTACACCCACTATCACGTTCTACACCCATCACCACCAACACCACAGTCCACACCTACCACCACCAACATCATAGTCCACACCTACCACACCAACACCACAGTCCACACCTACCACCACCAACACCACAGTCCACACCTACCACCACCAACACCACAGTCCACACCTACCACCACCAACACCACAGTCAACACCTACTACCACCAACACCACAGTCAACACCTGCTACCACCAACACCATAGTCAACACCTACCACCACCAACACCACAGTCAACACCTACCACCACCAACACCACAGTTAACACCTACCACCACCAACACCACATCAAACACCTACTACCACCAACACCACAGTCAACACCTACCACCACCAACACCACAGTCAACACCTACCACCACCAACACCACAGTCAACACCTACCATCCACCAACACCACAGTCAACACCTACTACCACCAACACCACAGTCCACACCTACTACCACCAACACACAGTCCACACCTACCACCACCAACACCACAGTCAACACCTACCACCACCAACACCACAGTCAACACCTACTACCACCAACACCACAGTCAAACACCTACCACCACCAACACCACAGTCAACACCTACCACCACCAACACCACAGTCAACACCTACCCCACCAACACCACAGTCAACACCTACTACCACCAACACACAGTCAACACCTACTACCACCAACACCACAGTCAACACCTACCACCATAAACACCACAGTCAACACTACTACCACCAACACCACAGTCAACACCTACCACCACCAACACCACAGTCCACACCTACCACCACCAACACCACAGTCAAACCCTACTACCACCAACACCACAGTCCACACCTACCACCACCAACACCACAGTCAACACCTACTACCACCAACACCACAGTCAACACCTACTACCACCAACACCACAGTCAACACCTACCACCACCAACACCACAGTCAACACCTACTACCACCAACACCACAGTCAACACCTACCACCACCAACACCACATCAACACCTAACTACCACCAACACCACAGCCCAACACCTACTTACACCAACACCACAGTCAACACCTACTACCACCAACCCCACAGTCAACACCTACCACCACCAACACCACAGTCAACACCTACTACCACCAACACCACAGTCAACACCTACTACCACCAACACCACAGTCAACACCTACCACCATAAACACCACAGTCAACACCTACTACCACCAACACCACAGTCAACACCTACCACCATAAACACCACAGTCAACACCTACCACCATAAACACCACAGTCAACACCTATCATCATAAACACCACAGTCAACACCTACCACCATAAACACCACAGTTTAGGTATATGATCACCACAGTCCACTATCGCCACCATCAACACAATATGTTCTTCAGTAGTTCGTATTTAAGGGTCATTATGGTGTTGATAATGACGGCATTATCACCTTTGACGACACAAGGCAAGTCTGTTCTTCTTGCTCTCGTGTTTTATTATAGTTTACCTTAACTATCAAAAATATTGCGTCTTATAAAACACTTGTCAGTGTTTCATGCTGGAAGGCTGAGTTTTGTTGAGTAATTGTGTTTCATCTCTGTGTTTTTCAGGTTGTCAGGAGTCACCACCCTGGCAGACCAATATTACACTTCCTCTGACGCCCAAGGAAGGTGTGTGGGCGGCCAGTGTGGGCGTGAGACCTGACAACAACATCTGGACACTAAGCATCACTGTTTACACCAACAAGAAAAGCATCATAAAACTTATTATCACTAGTACTAATGATACTTTGCAGAAATTATCATGGACAAGAGATACAGAAACTGAAGAATTACAGTCACGCTGGCCTCCTTATACACATTTTCTTCCTGGCCAGACCTCCAAACTATTGGTGATGGTGTCCAGCGCCGAGCTTACACTCCAGTTGTGTACATCTTCCACTTGTAAAAACATTACTTTCCCACTGCGTCATCGTAGCGTCATCAGTGAAGCAAATCTCAGTGTTTTCAAATTAAGTGGCGGCGAAAACTTCAATATTTGTCGTTATCCTGCAAAAGGTAAAGTAACATAGAATGTACAGAGTTTGCCTTAATATATTCCGGGTTGCAAAATATTTAAGCTCAGAAATAAATTTTAGTTTAAAGGCAGTTGACAATAATATTTGCAGTGAATCATCATTTGTTGTTGTAAACTTAGGCAGTAAAGTTCTGATCTTGGTTGTCACTCCTAAAAGATATAGTAAATGGATATGCTTTGGTAGCTGCACCATCCAAGGGATGTATCCCCCGTATCCCATAACCTTATTTCCCTGTACTTCAGTGATAGGAGAGAGGTATCCCCCAGCATCCCATAACCTTATTCCCCTGTGCTTCAGTGATAGGAGAGAGGTATCCCCCAGCATCCCATAACCTTATTTCCCTGTACTTCAGTGATAGGAGAGAGGTATCCCCCAGCATCCCATAACCTTATTCCCCTGTACTTCAGTGATAGGAGAGAGGTATCCCCCAGCATCCCATAACCTTATTCCCCTGTACTTCAGTGATAGGAGAGAGGTATCCCCCAGCATCCCATAACCTTATTCCCCTGTACTTCAGTGATAAGACAGAGGTATCCCCCAGCATCCCATAACCTTATTCCCCTGTACTTCAGTGATAGGAGAGAGGTATCCCCCAGCATCCCATAACCTCATTCCCCTGTACTTCAGTGATAGGAGAGAGGTATCCCCCAGCATCCCATAACCTCATTCCCCTGTACTTCAGTGATAGGAGAGAGGTATCCCCCAGCATCCCATAACCTTATTCCCCTGTACTTCAGTGATAGGAGAGAGGTATCCCCCAGCATCCCATAACCTTATTCCCCTGTACTTCAGTGATAGGAGAGAGGTATCCCCCAGCATCCCATAACCTTATTCCCCTGTACTTCAGTGATAGGAGAGAGGTATCCCCAGCATCCCATAACCTCATTCCCCTGTACTTCAGTGATAGGAGAGAGGTATCCCCAGCATCCCATAACCTCATTCCCCTGTACTTCAGTGATAGGAGAGAGGTATCCCCAGCATCCCATAACCTCATTCCCCTGTACTTCAGTGATAGGAGAGAGGTATCCCCAGCATCCCATAACCTCATTCCACTGTACCTTTCCAATTAATTCACAGAAAACAATTTGATTAATAAATCTGGCAAATAATAACTTACACAACATCAAGAGATTTATTCCTTTGAGCGAAACACATCAACACTAAAAGTTTAAAGCCGATCAAAAGATGCATTTTCCAGTTTCTTCACAAAACCCAACAAAATTTATGCCTAAATAGTCTTAACCCGTGAAAAGATCCATCCATTTCATACTATGAGTCAAGAGTTGAAGATTAATGACGTTGACAGACGCTCGCTCTATCACCCCTATGGGTCACACAGCAATATGACCCATTAGGGTCATATAGAGCTTGAATAATGGGAGGCATTCAAATTCGATCCAAGTAAGGGATAGGTCTATTTCCTTGGATCAAGAGCCCCTCACCAGCATCAAGATTAAGTTGCAAAATGGAGTCTAGACACTCAATTACATGCACTTAAGAAAATGGAAAAATAAACACAAAAGTGGTCTGTGACTTTATTAAGTCCCAAACAGATCTATCTGGGTGAATAGTACGTGAGTATTTATAGGATGGAGAGTCAGGTGGAGAATGCTGGGTAGAGAAATATTATGGTGATGCCGACAGGATGTGGAAAAAGACATTTATGTACACTTCCGGACATTTATTAGAGGAAAAGTATCGCCACGAGCGACTTCTTCAATCCTAATACAGATTATTATTATAATCAAGGGGGAAGCGCTAAACCCGGAGGATTATACAGCGTCTGGGGGGGGATGTGGAAGGCATTCAGGCTTAATTCGGGGAACTGGAGCACAGATCCAATTCCCTAAATCAAGAGCCCCTCACCAACATCAAGGAACCTTTCTTGAGGGGATCCTAATACAGAGATAACTAAGAAAGTAAGTATATACAGTGACAGTAGTCAGGTCAAATGTCGCGTAGGTAGCACTAATAGTGGTAGTAGTAGTAATAGTAGTAGCAATAGTAGTAGCAGTAGTAGTAGTAGTAGTAGCAGTAGTAGTAGTAATGGTGGTGGTGGTAGTAATTGTGGAAAGACGGATTGGGTTGGAGAAGGACATGTCGACATCATGTTACAGCGGTCTCCAGAATGGGTAAAATCCTGTTGATTACCATTTTGGGTGGAGAGTGTAACATGTCGAAAAGTCCCTATCCAACCCAACCCGTCTCTCCACAATTACTCCCACCACTACTACTGTTTCTACTACTCCCACTGCTAGTGCTACCCACGCGACATTTCACCTGACTACTGCCAGTATATATACTCGTTTTCATAGTTTTCTCTACTATGAACAACTATATCTCCAGCTTAAGGCACAGTTAAGAGAAGCAAGAAATTAAATTCAACGACTGAAGCGTATGTACAAGGATTATTCCCAGAATAACGTCGTCGATAATCGGACCAACGAATGGATACTAGTTGGAACTGAAGGGACGATGCTGAAGCTGAAGAAGGTCCAGAAGACTGCTGTGAAAACCAGCAACTCCTTTTCCTTGTTAGCAGACAAATGTAGATCGATCACCCAAGACCTTCCATCGAAAACAATTCCAACAAGGAACAATGTTAATGGCCCAGCGAAGCCAGCCAGTGAAGACATCCCAGCGAAGGCCATCGCTACAAAGACGGTCCAGAACGCCATGCACATCACCAGTCAAGGTAAGAACATCGTTTTAGTTGGGGACAGTCACGTCAAGCTTGTGGATAGGGCTTTTTGTCTTAGAAATAGGAAAAGGAGGTGAAGGGTTCGTTTTCCAAGGGGTGGGATGGAGGATATTGTTAGCCATCTGGACGGCACTATGAGAGGTAATGGAAGGAATCGTATTATTTGTCTCTGTGCTGGAGGCAACAATGTTGGCAGACGTAAGAGTGAGGACCTGGTTAGCATTTGTAGTTCAGCAATAAATATAATTAGGAAAAAGAGAGAGAGACCTGCGATATATTGCAATTTGCCGAGGAAAGAAGTTAAAAATGAATGGTTGCCCAGGGCAATTGGTGTCAAAAGCTGGCTGAGCAAACACCATAAGGAAAATACAGGAACATTCAAAGACAATTGGAACCTCTTCTATGGTAGAAATGACATGTATGCCAGGGATGGTGTTCACTTATATAGGCCTGGGGTGGGGGCACTGGCCAGTGCAGTGGAGGGAGCTATTAGAGCTTAAACTAGATATAGTAGTATAGGTTTTTGTGGGAAAGCAATGAAGTCTCAATGTAGTGATATTGTGAGTTTTAGGGAAGCCAGTTATAGGCAGAATAAGGTAGAGTTAATGGTGAATATTGGAAAGCCAGTGGCACTAAGTGACAAGGACAGTAATAGGGATAGTGGAAAAACAGAAATGAGCAGAATGGAAAAAAGAAGGAAGGGTTTCTAAATTTATATTATGCAAATAGTGGTAGTGCTAGAAATAAGATGGACGAGTTGAGATCAGTTATGGTATTTGCTATAACTGAGACGTGGTTTAATATAAAAAATGGAAACATGCCTGTTGAACGTCATATTCAGGGTTTTAAATTGTTCCACGCAGATAGAAGCATAGGAAATGGGAGGTGGGTTGGCACTGTATGTCCGAGATCACTTGAATTGCTGCATAAAAACTGGTATAAACTCTGGGTAGAATTTTCAGAGGGGCTTAAAAATTTAATTTTAGGCGTGATATACCGTCCCCCGATATCACATTTGATAAATCCATATGTGGAAGTAAATCATGCCTTAAGATTAGGCAAGTGAAGAATTCTCTCTATCAAGATCCCAAAATGTTGCTGTGTCTGACAGGACTGTATAAATGGTTCAGAGAACCGACAGGTTGATAAATTAGACACATGTGCAACACTTGGGTATCTTTGAGGAAACGTTTCGCCCCAGTAGCTTCATCAGTCTTCTACAAAGAATAGGGGAATTCTTCACTTGCCTAACCTTTAGACATGACTTACTTCCACATGTGGATCTGTCAAACATAATACCACCTACGACTGCTTCACTTCACTTGTGTACAGTATAAAGCCACTTCTTCGCACATATGCTATGTTTTTTTTTTTCAAGACTGATGGACTGATTACATCGACTCAAGGCTGAGGGACTGATTACCTCAAACTCCTTCTGATCTTCACCATTCTTCTTTGTAGAGCACTGATGAAACCACTGTGTGGCGATACGTTTCCTCAATAAAGGTGCCCAAGTGTTGCACATGTGTCTAATTTATCAACTTGTCGGTTCTCTGAACCGTTTATCTACATGTACATAAGTGTCTTTTTCCACAGCTCCTACGGGTTTACCGTTTTTTTCTGATTAAAGTATAACAATAGTGAACGGCATCAGTCTTCGGTGGTTGATGCATCGTATAAAATAGATGAATCGTTTCATGAGTTTAGACTATGTAGGCACAGATTTATTAGATTCTGTACAATAACTGGAAAATGCATCTTCTGGTCGGTTTTAAACTTTTAGTACTGGTGTTTTTCTCAAGTGAAACAATCTCTCGACGTTAGGTTGTGTAAGTTATGATTTTCTAATTTTATTAATCAGATTAAATAAGCTTCTGTGAAACAGTTTGATAATGTCTCTTCTGATGAGAAATAAGTTACAGTGTTTAACCGTATTTGTGTATCCTATGATACATTCCTTAAGTCCTAGAAAGATTTAAAAAATAAATTAAACAAATATATGAGTGACAATCGTTAAATATGAGAAGGACCTTCCTATAGAGGGTTCAGAGGCCTACTGCCAGGTTCCTCCATTCTTATGTTCTCATTTTATTCATATGAAGGTTCACATTACTCTGAATTGTTCAAGTTTCAATCTAACAATTATTTCAAATGAATCAGGATTTATTTTCTTGTTCTTGTGATAACTACTGAATGTTTCTTCTCTTAGGTAATAAATTTTTAGCTTTGGTGTATCTTGTTTAAAGGAAAGTTTTGAATGGCCAAGGGTTGTGTAGGTA